CAGGGACTCCAGAGCTGGATGCAGTACTGCAGGTGGGGTCTCACGAGAGTGGAGTAGGGGGGCAGAATCACCTCCTTTGACCTGCTGGCCACACTTCTGACGCAGCCCAGGATATGGTTGGCCTTCTGGGCTGCGATTGCACGTTGCTGGCTCATGCTGAGCCTCTCGTCAATCAGGACAGCCAGGTCCTTCTCCTCAGGGCTGCTCTCCAGCCATACTCACCGAGCCTGTATTTGAGCGTGGGATTGCCCCGACCCAGATGTAGGACCCTGCACTTGGCCTTGTTGAACTGCATGAGATTGGCTTTGGCCCACCTCTCCAGCCTGTCCAGGTGCCTCTGGAGGGCATCCCTCCCCTCCAGCGTGTCTACCTCACCAAACAGCTTGGCATCATCAGCAAACTTGCTGAGGGTGCACTCGACCCCACTGTCCATGTCTGTGACAAAGATGTTGAATAGTACAGGTCCCAGTACCAACCCCTGAGGAACACCACTCGTCACTGCCCTCCACTTGGACATCGAGCTGTTGACCGCAAGTCTTTGAGTGCGACTGTCCAGCCAGTTCTTTAACCACCAAGTGGTCCACTTGTCAAATCCATGTCTCTTCAATTTAGAGACCAGGATATTGTGTGGGACGGTGTCAAATACTTTGCACAAGTCCAGGTAGATGACCTCCATTGATCTTCCCTTGTCCACTGTCGCTGTAACCAGCGTTGTTGCCTATATTCACTTTCTTCAAAGAGTTTCTGAGTTTTCTCACCAGCAAAGAGTTTCTCACCCCAAACCAATTAGCCACTCACTGTTAGAAAAAAGACTGTGAAGCTTTAGAAAGCATCACCATTCTCTTGAATCGAGGTATGGCCTCCTGAAATTACATGCAAGGAAAGTCATAACTCTGCCTCACCTTGAAAGTGCCCAAGTGCATCCTAAAGCTTTCCAGGCATGGTTGGTTATCCTGCATCTCATGGAGAAAGTCCCATAAATCTGAACAATCCCTTGGGCTCAGAACCTCCAGTCAACAACAGACAAAGTCGCAGTAAAGGAAAACACTGCCAGAAAGCTATTCAATCTTTTTTCTTTGGAAAAACAAGGTGCGGGAACACAGGCACCACTGCATTCGTGGCATCCTCTTGGCATAGCTGCTACAGGATTAAGACCACCACTCCTTCTTTACTGTACATTATTCAGAGATGGAGTAGAGGGAGATGGGTGTGACACTAAGGACTACAGTTTCACTTGGAACTCACTTTCGCGAGCCAGGCTTTCAGGATGACAAACATATTAATGGTGCCTGTGAAAGGCAGTCTACAGGACAACATGTTGCTTCCTGGAGGTGCCTGCAGCTGAGGTAGCAGCAATTTGAGGAATAGCTTCTTTTCAAAAAGCTCCAAATCAGGCCTATAGTGGAACTGTTCAGCCCTGGAAGCCACATAATACCTATTTCAAAGTAAATCCCTGAACCATGGAGAGACAAGAATCCTCAGCACCAACTGAAATGGGTATAATCTCATACACTCTTACTGTACTGTGTTACTGTTAATGTAGATTTAGCACTGACATGCTTCACAGTTTCCACTGAAATTCCCATAAAACTCAAAACTAAAGCCTTTACTAAATCAGGTGTCAAGGTACTTATGTTTCTTTGCTCTGTCTGCTGTAGGAAGCCTCAAATGCCAGACAAAAATAAAGATTATCAATTATGGGAAATAAACAAATGAATAAAAATCCCAGGGTCTTGTCCTAGAAAGATAGAATCACACTGTTAACAGCATAAAACCAACTGCTACTCTTTTTAAAAGGTCAAGGATATTATTTTCAGTTACACTAGAAGCATTCATTTCATACCTATCATCAAGATTCATCAGAGTGTCCTAGGCTTGCCACAGGCTGCTGGCTATCAGAAAAGGCCTGGGTTGCTTTGGGTTTTCTCCTAAATACTACTCCTATTCCATCCTCTTCTCCTCCTGAAATGCTGTCTTTAGAAAGGTAACACCTGTGGAATCCATACCTCAATTCCAGTGACTTTACACTGCCAGAGTTAGCAGCACCACTTCAGAGAAAAAAAGATCTTATAAAAAAACCTGAGATCAGAACCAGGACACGGTATTTCACCTTCTCATCCATCCAAATCCTCAATAGCGGCATTGTGCATTTACATACTGGATGGCACAACAGATCCATGACAAAGTTGTTTTTTTTTTTTTCCCTTTCCTTGTCATACTATTAACAAGAGATTCATTCAGAACAGAAAATATTCAACCAGTTGTCATTTTGCCCTCCACGCTGCTTGAGGCAAGGAAGGGGCAGAGACTGGTTTTGGTATCATATGGATTTCCTGCATGTCTTAGTTTTGATTCTGACAAGAACAAACAGTACCCTTCAGTTATCATCCTCTCCCAGAAGTGAAGTTTTTCTTGAGGAAAACACATGATTTGATGATAATGAGCTCCATGACATTTTCAGAGTACTGCACAAGGGCTGGCATGTTGCTTGGGAATTTGAGATACCCTGATAGTGTACACTTACTGTTTTAAACTCATGGGTATCTACAGAAACCTTCCCGGTGTCTCTTTCACCTTTGAAACTCCCATTGAGTTAATCTGAGATAATATAAAAGAAACACTGAACCATTTGGCCAAATAAGCAAGTTTATGCTCCTCACTAATGTTCATTATTCTACTTCCCTTTCTTGTGCCCTCTGCAAAAAATGTGTTGTTTCAAACCTTAATGGGTCTAGCAAAAACAATTAGATCCTTCTAGTGTTAATCACAGAATGGTTGAGGTTGGAAGGAAACTCTGGACATCATCTGGTCCAATGTCCTTACTCCAGCAGGGTCACCAAGAGCTGGTTGCCCAGGACCATGTGCAGATGGCTTTTGAGTGTCTCCAGTGTGGGAGACTCCACCACCTCTCTGGGCAACCTGTGCCAGGGCTCAGTCACCCTCATGGTAAAGAAGTGTTTCCTGATGTTCAGCTGGAGCCTCCCGTGTTTCAGTCTGTGCCCGTTGCCTCTAGTCCTGTCACTGGGCACAACCATGGAAAAATACCCAAAGAAAAATCAGATTTTTACCATAATTAGGCAAAACACACAAGCAGAAAACTATTCTGTCTCTTTCCAGCCCTGCACTAGCTACCAATATTGATGTTAAGACTATTCATCTGATTTCCTAAGGAAATGGATGTTGATCTCTCACACTATCTGTTCTTTCCTCTTCACTTTTGAGTCTGTCAGCCATTTTCAACCACATTTATAGCCAGGTTCACAGCTTCAAAGATAAGCAAAATGTCAAAGTTTCAAGTTTGAGTCCTTAAAACTTTAAAAAAATATCTGTGACAAGATAGAGAGCCCAAAATCAGTGATTCATAATCACAGACTGCCAATTCTTGCCTGGTGTTGTAAATGGAATTACTGCAGCGTGAGCAGAGGCAATTCACACAAATCCATAGGAAACCAGGCTTCGTTAGTTCTGCAGCCCACGGGACAGACTCTCTTTTTGTTGCAGCATTTGCTTACAGAATTAGTACAGAATTAAACTGTACTTGCCCTAATCTAAGACACTTCTGTCACCGTATAACAGCATCCATCTATGAGTGTTGCTCCAACTACACTAGTTTCCACAGTGTTACAATGGTGCAAAAAGTGTGCGTAAACAAAGCTATAGTTGAACACATGTGAAAACAGCATCCCTCTGTCACAAAACAATCAGCCCTAAATCAAAACATGTTTGAATTTAGAAGTAGTCTGCCTGCTCTAGAAACTTGTACTGATTAGGCAGGTAAAATGGTGTTGAGCCATTTCTCAGAGGATATGTAATAAATAAAGAAATAACAGCTTTTTGAGCTGCTTATTAGGAGGGAAGGAGGCATAGTGTAAGAAGAAAATGAAAAGTTGTCTCCTTGCCTCTTTCATGCTTATTAATGCATTCAGAAGCTGTACTGAAAGGAATTTAAACTCGTGATAGTCATAAGAGAACAGATCAAAGAAAAAAAAAACAGACCAAGTCAAGGAAAAGAAAGCTGTACATGCCTTTCAGTTAACAGACAGAATACAGGTCTGAAGGAGGTAAGATTTCTATTTTTTTATTCTACCTAAAATTTTCTGTGTTGCTTCAAAATTGTGTTTCAGAAGGGGCTTGACTGTCTCTAAGCGAACTCTGAAAATGTTTTGTTTCCTTGGCTAGAATCCTCTTCAGTAAAGTCGTCGGCTTTTATACTTCACCTGTACAAGGTAGTTTGATTAGCTGGATACTACCAAGTAGGATCTGTTGTTGTGCTGTTTAAATGACAGAAACATGATTACTTGTGGATTTCTTCTTCACTATATTTGATCGGTTACATTTTAAACTGTTCAGACTGCATTTAGCTGGGTGATGATTCCCTTAAGACTGGAAATTAAGATTATAATACAAATTCCCTGCACATCTACATATAGATTGTCAGCAGACATAAATTAGTATAACCATCTGAAAATTGACAGATCTCTGAGAGTCTATGCTGAGTGAAAACCTGGCCACTGAGCGTTTTCAGGGAATAACAGAAATAAAGAAACAACTACTTGTAAGGACAATATTGATTTTTCTTCTTCTGAATAGCTTTTCTTGTCCAGGTAAATTGCCTTTCCTTCTATATTCCTGAGAGATTTTACTTCAGAAGTCTGTCATCACTGATTACCTAAAGAGACCATGTCAAATTCTTTGCTGTTGGACTCAGGTGCAAATACCTTGGTGTCAGTGGAGCTCTTTAAATGTAGACTACAGTTATGGTTTTGAGTTTTGCCTTAAATTTGAACAGTTGCATATGTATGTGGATCTACTTGATTCTGAAGATATCAGATTGTTCTGCCTCCCTAAAATGCTCCCGTTGAAACAATAAGGTTGATAATATTATGCTTTAAATTTAACAAATTATTTATGGCACTGAGGCACTGTATTTCTACCCTGTAGGTCTGAGCAGGACCAACCTCGCAAAATGCCCAGAAACTACCACCGTCCAGATGGCAACTTTTTCAGAGGGAAAGGACACAGCTATCTTGCAGCAGAAGAGTAAGCATAAAGCAAAACCTATGTTAGTGTATAAGCTGTTTTCACACTGAAAGAAATGTACAAAGTAGTATCAGAAAAAGTCACTGTTGTATATAGGTGGAGTGTGTTTTAGATATCCTGTAGTTGTCTCTAATGTTTGTCATTGCAGAATCGTAAAGAGCCCTCAACAGTTAAGAAAAATCAGGACTGCAGAATTTAAGAATCTAGAGTTTGATCATATGATCACAAGTCATTAACCTTTAGAATAAAATTAACAGGTTTATTGAGGCTTATTTAGAATTTGCTTTTGAGGCTGTTGCCAGGTGATCTTTACAATAAGTTTTATCTCCAGATCCACAAACGTCTCTTCAGAACCTCAAAGGGACACCGTCCCACCCTAAAGAATAATAATATAAGTGAAAACCCCAGAGAAATGGTAAAATACCGTCAAAAAGCAGATGAAGACATCAATGCCACACAACGATGACTCTCAGTAAATTTTTTCTGGGTGAGATTCCACTTAAGCAGAACTAATTCACGCTGATACTTTGTTAGTCTTGGCTTACAATAAAATATGTTGGGTTTTGGATTACTAGAGACACTATCCGACTGGTGATGTGTTATTACTTTAGACAAATATTTCCAATGTGCGTGGGATATCTGTATGTGGAATCCACTTCTGGTACCGGTTTACTGGCCCCCAGACTTGGTGACTTGTCCCCCACACACACATACTGCAAGATATTTGCTTCTCCATGTTCATCCCTGAGCAGAGAGAACAAACAAAGGGGAAGGCTCTTCTCATAGTGCTTCCAAAGCAGTTCAGTGCTCAAAAAGAAAAAGCTGGCTAGTCACGTCTCAGCACTTGAAACTGGGCATGCTCACCTCTAACTGCCATGAATTCCAGTAGCTGCAATTGCAAGCAGTTTTTCTAGATACGCAAGGGAAGAGTGACTCTCTCCTTCCAGTACCAGAAGGAGCATTCAAGATATAAGCACAGATTCCTAACAGCACAGCTGCAGCTTTTAACTGAAATTGCAAGAAATTGCATACACACCTTTCATACCAGCCTCTGAATAGGTAGGGGAGGGGTTAGATGACAAACACGCAGTTAAAATCACCAACTCCAGAAATGACATACATTCTGTGAGCGATGCAGGCTTATGGATGGCTAGAACTACAGAGCACACGAAAAGCAGAAAGCAGTCTCAAAAGGTAGAAAAGGCAGCAGTTGCTTTGAGAAGTAGTGTCTCCAGGTTTTAGCTGTGCTGGGGCCAGTAGCAAAACCAGTGGAGCCATCTCGTAACTTGGAAGATCAGCTGCAACACGGCTGCAACAGGAAGCAAGTGAATGCTGTGAGTTGTAGTCTTGACCAGCCAACACAAGGTCTTCAAGGGGCAGGAGCAACTTGCAAGATTCACATGCTTGTGAAAAAGAAAAGCCCCTAAGGGGCTTCATGCTTCAAACAGCACACAGGCAGTTCAGACAAAAAAACAGCCTGTTCTGCCGCATGAATCTGCTCATGTCTTCTTTCAGGCTTCTTGGGTCACAAGGAAACACTCCTTCATGGGACTGTAAGTCAGGGGAAATGATAGCAAATAGATATAAAAGGTCTCTGATAAGTCACGCAGCCCACTCCTCAGTCCCAATGGAAAAGCCTGGTGGCAATTACTTCAGGGCAACTGGATATAAGATACGTAAAGTATGTTAGAATTTGTTTATCCTGACTCATGGTAATTTTTTTTTTTTCCTGTCCTCTTTTCCCTTTAAGCATTTTGCAGACTCTTCTGTTCCTGAACACACCAAGAACAAAGAAATGGGGAGTGAATTCTGTATGTCTTAATAGGGAGGATATTAGCACAGGGGTTTTGCGACCAAGAAACTTGCAATTACTTTCAGCTGCAGTTACTGTCAGCTTGTTTTCTCACTAGTGGAACTGTGCTACTTCTCCCAAGCCCCCGGTAAGCAGTGGGAAGGATGTCTTACAGCACAGTTTGCAAAACCTGCGTTCCCTAAAATGACCCGGGGACACCAATACTGTGCCTAGTGTGTCATGAAACAAGAACTAAAGAATTATAGAGCTCTTTATGAATAATTCAAAGTTTCTTACTCAGGTTTTGAGGTTGTGGAGTGTATCACGTATCCAAAAAATCCTTCTGTCACCAACAGTTGTTGCAATAGGATGTGATTAGGATACTTTTCTCAACACTTGCTGCCTAGAGAAACTTAACAAATAAACAAGAGCTGTGTCTCTGCAGGTGTGACATTTAATTAATTTCACATTCTCTTACAATATCACAATGCTGTTTGATGGATTTACAGGCAGGGATTTTTTTTAGAAGCAGTAGTCACTGGTAGATCATTATCTTAAAAGCAATATATTCCTCGTTTTTAAAATGCTTGAGAACTTGGCAGAGCATTTAGCTAACTGCTTAATCTACAGAGAATGGCTGAAGTTATTGATACTCTGTCTATTTTCTGAGGTAAATTCTGCTCCATGCCTTCATCTCATGAAAAGATACCGATACAAACTTTCGTTCTAATCCTCTCTCCCAGAAGAATGCATCCAGTTCTGGTGCTAATTATTTTATTTCGCTTTCCCGACAGAGCCCTGGGTATTGGACTCTTCATTTTGGTGCTGGCGATTTTACTTATCTTTGGCTGCTGGTATTACAAAAGACGTAGTGGCTATAAAAGTCTGCGGGTAAGCATGACAGCTAACTTTCTAGCATGCTATTATTTTGACAATACATACTCATTAGTTGCATTACATTCATGCAGAGAACATTGAGTCTGTAATAGTGCATCATTATCTCAGGCAATATATACATTGACATATACATAGGTAAAAATACATGATATGAAACTCACCTTGCCCTGAAGAACTTGCAAGTCAGGCAAAGGAGTGAGAGGAAGCAGAAGCACAGGGAGACGAAGCCAGCTGTCCAACTTGGCATAATACATCAGTGGAAAAAGTTATCTCTAGGAAGCATTATATATAATATTTACACAAAACCAAGATGTATTCTGTGTATTTTCATTTAAATAAAAATAACATATTCACTATTCATAAGACTTACCCCTAAATGAGGACAGATATGATTAGAGTAAATCTAGGAAGCAGAGAGGAAAAATAACCGTTAGAAGTAACTAAGTAAATATTAAGTTCATGTAGGGGTGATGCATGATTTATTTGTATAAAAGTTGACTTCCAGTTTTTAGATTTATGAAAAAACAGGGCAGGTTTAAGGTTTGCTTTCTAAACACTACTTCTAAAAACTTCTACTTTGTGTCTCTTAAAAAATATTAAAAAAAGGAACAATTCTTCTCATAACATTTGTTGTTAGAAGTCTCAAAGTTTTATCTTTGAAGTTCTGCTCTCTCTCCTATGAAAGGGAGGCCACTTTTAATCGTTTAAAGTGAAAGCATTATCCAGTTATATGTTTTACAGTAAATATCTTTTAGTTATCCTAATATTTCGAAAAAGATGTGACCATTTGGAATTTAAAAACATACTGCTCATCTAAGTCAGCAAAAACATTTCCTTGCTGTTTCTGACAACTTTGTCCTATTACCTTTCCAGTGATCTGTCCAATACATATATCAACTCTCAGAATACATAAAACCTGAACTTTCATGGTGAAATGTTGCAAAAATGAAAGTAATACTCAGAAAAACCTTCCAAAAGAGAACCAGGATTCTTTCATGCCTGCTTTCTACATCTTGGCAAAAAGCACAATCTCTTTCTTAATTACTTCTCATCACAGATTGCTGCTTTCTGGTTTTGAAAATCAAATTTTTGTTAGGCTTTTTGGCTAGGGGAGAACTAGTACAGGATGTATGCAAAAGAAATGGTGGAAAAATGGAAAAGAAAGAGGCTGGACACTAAAGAAAGAAATGGGTGGGATAAAAAGGAGGAAGCATTCAGGTACATGAGAAGGTGGCAGTTCCTGCAGCAGTCCTTGACCTAAAAAATGTGATCCTCTTTTTTCTGGCAATGTAACTGGATAACACAGGAGAGAGAGCATGTCTCAGCAGAAACAGCAAAAAGTGATAGGTAGATTATCTCTCTTGCTGGCATTGTGCCTGGCTCTAATCCCAGATTCTAAGACATACTGTAAAAGTGCTGTCAAATACTAAATGACACATAATTTGTTCCAACTTCACATTCTCTTCTCCCTTTCACCTTCCCCATATTTCTTCATGATCTGTTACAGAGCAAAAGCTCTAGTGTGGGCACAATACGAACCGTGGTAGGTGAGGGAACAATACTGGACTGCAAAATGGCTCAGCAGGAGTACAGAAACTTTAATTCTGTGGTAAGTTGCAACTCAACGTTTCGTTTATGTACAACATAGCAGGACACAGTGAGACAATCTTGCTAAATAGTCACTTGTTGATGATTTCTTTATTGGGGTGTGCTGTCTAGATTGGGTGTTCAATGCCTCTACATTAACTTAAAAAGTAGTATTTTGCACAATTTTTACTGTGAAAAGGGTTTTTTAAGTCTACTATTAAGGATTTGTCTTTTAAGAAATTCTGTTCTTTCACATACCTTCATTCTTAAGTTGTATGATCATTATGCAATCTGCTAGAATGATGTAACACCTGAGTGTTGACATATACTGCATCAACAAAACATCTCCTTAATAGATGTTCTGCCATTCTGACAAACAACAAATGTGTCTGTTACACTATTCCTTGACAAGGATTGTCAGGGAACATTATAAAACTTCAAGGTTTTAGCTACTCTAATTATTATGGAAAGATGAATATTCAAACCTAACATTTTAAAAAAGTTAAAATAACTTAACTGATAAATATATATGTCAATTTATGGGTGTGTTTAAATAGTTTTAGAACAGAGAGAAGCTAATTTAGAACCAATTTTAAATACGCTGCCCAAACTGTTAACATAGGAAATAAGAAAATGTACCTGCATCAAGACTCTTTTAAAATGCCAGTCTTTATAACACTGAAAATTCTCTCTTTGGATGAATGAGGCAAACAGAATTAATTTAATCTGATGCAAAACCAAAAAACATATTAGCAAAAACTAACCTTAAAAAAAAACCCAAAACATAATGAATGAGCTCAGCTCTGTAGTAGCATATCCGATATGAAGGTAAATCACTCACTGCATCTTTAATATAATTTTTTTGTACCTCAATTGTTTTTTCACTCTTTCACACCCATTTTCCTTACCATAGGTACCTGATGCTCCACCAGCTTATGACAAAATTGCTGCAGATCAGTCACCACCACCTTATTCACCATGATGACATGGAATCTTTAACTCTTAACATACCAATTCAATTCCTTCATGCTCCTTCTTAATTTCCTGTACGTGCTTAACTTTCTTAAAGCTAAAATCATAAAAAAAAAAAAAAATCACATGCGTTCATTAGCAGTTGCTGAAAATTATTCCTGCTTAGTTTACAGAACTGGTTCTTGAAATGCCTCAATAAATCTGAATATGCTTTTGTTTTAAGTTTTTCATTTCTTGTGGTCCTGTGCTCAGATGAATACACTATACTCGAGTCTGGGCATCTTCCATCCTTCATAGGATGTTACCAAGAGTAACTTACATACCGTTGAATATCAACCAGAGTAGAAAGTGTTGGCACCTTCATTTTCCTCATCCCCACTTACTATCCCTTTCTTTAAAAAAGAAATAAACTATTCCCTAGAATGTACTGTACAAGAATCTGTCCTAAAATGGACAAAACCATGTCCTGTTACAAAGACTAAATGCTTTCCCTACCAGCAGTTCTACCAACAGTTCTAAAATTAACCTGCAAAAGGCGACTATGTTTTATAACAGGCTTTTACCTCACATCACTTGTTTACGTACCTGTAATGAAATATTTCCTCATAAAACCGGATCCAGGCAACTTTAGAATTTCTGCTTAGAGTCCATACTGGTCAATGGTTATAATGACAATCACGTTTAGTTTCCTTCTGGCAGTCTTGTGAGAAAGCAAAAGAACTTGGTAGATATAGGGCTTTATGTGTCATCTGTTTCTAACATGATGACACAATATGAGAAAATGTGTGAAGCTCATGTTCCTTGAAGAATATAAAAGACAGCAGACTCCAAGATGTTAATTTTTGCAGGTTGCCAGAACACTAGCAGTAATAGAAAACAAAGAATTATGATATGCATAAATTAGGCTACAGGCACTTGGCAGTTATTGTCTACTTAGCATTTTTTCTTACTACTTACTTGCCAGATTATCAGTTAAGATTACAAGCAGATCAACAAATTTATACACAAGGCCTGGTATCTCACAGCAGGAGGTGGCTAAAGTTGTACAACATTCATTAAAATGAAAAGTAGTTAAAGAAGAAAACTATTACCATAAAACTATTCTTAACTGCTATGAGTAAAGAATCCCGTTCTTTGTCACTAAATATGCAAATATAAACACCTTAAAACAAAAAGAAAGTTTTAAATACAAGGCAGGTTTACTTGCCTAACATGAACTCCATACATGGTGATAAATAATAAGACGTAGGTTTTTAGAAATGTTTCTTTTACAATAAAATTTTTTATATAGATTACTAAAATTAGATGCTTGTTAGAAGGTAATAAATATCTGTAATTGCTGTGAAAAGTTATAATCAATACATCTATTTTTATAAATTTAGCTGACATTTCTGTTTAGAACTTTAGAGAGGTACTTTAACCTAAAAAGCTGTCTTACGTGTGTCATTTCCAATATACAGCTTTAAGGAAAAAAAATCTGTGGACTTCTTTAGTGACAGGAAGAAGAATACAGAGGAAAATATACAAAATGCCAGGTTATCGTTAGTAAATGCCAGAGATGTAGAACACAGTGGCTAACTAAATTTTTTGCAAAACTGGTACACTAAAGCTTGAGGCTAATGATCTTTAGCAACTCTGTACTCTGAAACTCTCTACCCTGGGGCAACATCCTTTCAAAAGTCTGTGCTACTACTGTTGAATGGAACTCACATACACGTTCATGGCTGAGAAAGTAATTTCTATAAGGATTAATTGCTATAAAGGAGTGAAGTGATTAGAGTTCAAAAAGCTCTACTCGATCCCACATCAGCATTAAATAGGCTACTAGCCATTTCAAAAGCTCACAAGGAAGGTAACACTGACTAAGTAGAAAGATGGATTTATTTCCAGAACTACATAAGGCCAAATTGTTGCAACTGCTCAGCAGCCAGAACTGGAACTACTGAACTTTGACAGTAATTTCTAGATACTTAAAGTACAGATCAGCCCTCTTGGAAACCTATCCTTAGTTTTTAGAAAGTCCTCCCATTTTTCCTTCTTGTGAAAGCAGTATTCTTTCTTTATAGATACAGTTAGACAGTGGTCTCAGATTTTAATTAGTGCATGAAAATAAAAGCAAGAAATAGAGGTTCAGAGAGTACTATATTATACAGGTGGAAGCTTCATCACTCATGCTAAACACCCTCACAAATGCAGTTTTTGAAATCTGGCTCTACACCCAGCAAGGGTACACTGGAGAGGCTGGCTGCTGATCCAGTAAAACACAGCAATAGGGGACAGGTCAGAACTTCAAAGCAAGAGACCTCTAATTGCCAGTGCCTCCTGCTGCAAGAACTGGTTATGTTATGTCCTTTCTGTATTACACTCAGTCACACAGCTGACGAAGAGAGGTGGCTGGTCATAGCTGGAGAACGAAGCTCTGCTTGCTTCTGGTCTGCATTAATCTGTTTGCATCAGAGAATTAGACAGACACGCTGTTATTAAAGCTTATCTGTACATGGGGATCTCAGTAACATCTCTATAGCTATGCATGCAACCCTCATGCAGATGCAATGAACAACTTGAAAACCAGCCTTTCATTAATACAGGGTGTTTTGATCAGATTGGTAAATTATAATGGCAGTAGCAGTTGCATTGTCTGTGTTTGGATTCTTGGTACGATCCTGCTGGATCATTTACTTCCTAGTGAGATTACAAGCCTCCACGTAGCCTTAAAAGATTCGAGAATATTAGTCAGCCATCCCACCCATCGCACAAAGGTAAAATGCAGCAGGTCCTGACAAGTGCAATCTTCCTGGCATACTGAACCACACACTCCCTGGGCTAAGAGCCACAGTGTACATACTGCATACGTCAGAGAGCTATGATAAAGGAAAGCACCACGGACCTTCCGCAGGAAGCACTTGGTTTCTTAGAGTCTCGCCAGCCCAGTGTAACAGGACTGGCATATGCAGCTGGTTGCCAGGACAATCCAGTGACGTTCACCTCAGCAATCTCTGTTGGCTTAACACGGGCTGCAGCTGGGGATGCAGACAGATTATCTCGGCCTCAAGAACTGCATTAGTATTAACCATATTGCTTGTAATTTTTCAGTTAAATAAAATATTGCCAGCATATTTTCATTCATGCTTGTGTCTAATATTGGTAAAATATCCATTACCTTGTTGGTGTATATCCATGTATGTATGTGACATAAGACTACATTTTCTTGCCTTTAAAAGCAAACTTATTTTCACTTCTTATGTAAAGAAAAAGGTTAATGAGTTCCTCTGCACTTTGGAGAAGTAGCATTTGTTCATTTGTAGTTTTCTGTTGACTGCATATTAAACTGTGCCACAAAACTGAAAGATTGTTGTGTGTTCACACCATTTTATTAAAATTATTTTACTGAAATTAGAGCTGAATTAGAGCTAAAAAGTGCTTGCAAGTTTCCAGTGTTGTCTTTTGGTCACACATCTGCACTGAGCTTTAAATATAGTAATAAAGGTAAACTATAAGTCTAAGGTTAAAATAGCTATGTACAGCTACTATCTGCACATCCCATACATGCACGTTTTGGAATTGACCCCCAATATTCTGCATCCTTACACAATCCTCCAATTTTCACTGTACTTCCTTTCCCCAGAAAGTAACAGAAAGAACTATTACTTCCCTTGCTGCAAAAACTAGCTCTTCAAGATGTTTTGTCCACACAGGTTCTACTCTGGGGCTAATGCAAAAGACTACTTTTTTTTTTTGAGGTAGCAACGTTCCTAAATGCCTTGTGCTCATGGGAGTATGAAGAACAGACCCTCGTCCATCTGATCCTCATCCACCCAGAACCATCTCTCAAATTTACTCATCAAAAGAGAATCAGAGACTATTGGGCCCTATTCTACCAGGAAAAAAAGGAAAGAACGTAGGATCCACTGTGACAACACTATTGACACCTAAGCTACAAGCCACAGTTATTGCCTTCTCTAGTTATCCCAGAAAACTCTTACCATGTGATTGTGGTAAACTCCATTCTTGCTGGACTCATATGGGCCAAAACCTGAACAATGCTTGACCAGCAGGTGTGCCTTCACGTTTCCAAACCATTTTAGTATAGCCCAAAATACATGTTTGGACGACATGCTTTATTTGCTTCTTCCTGGAGAGGTACACCACACAAGTCGAGTACAAATTAGTAAAAGACAGAGTGATGGGCTAATATAAATACTTCAGCCTTTCAATACTAATTTTGTAAGGTCTTTTCAACTCTGCTAGCTTCCATTTCTGGATGGGAGAAACAGACTGCTCTGCTGCATATTCACTATGCTCTCTGCTTACACAGAAAAGCAGCCTTCCTTCTTCCAATTCTTTTTTGCATTTACCTTATCATCAGCTGCATTCTTGTAGCTATTAGGGAAAAAAGCTGACTTGTTTTTTGTTGAATAGTATTTTCTAAGAAAAAGGTCTAATCTTTCAATTTCTACCAGTTTGACCTTTCCCACTTATCTTGGCAGAAGTAATTGATTTGTTTCTGCAAACCATCGCTTACACCACAAGTAACTCTTCACTGACACTCTGGAGCAAAATAGGAACTGTCCCTTTTAGACACGGTTCAGTGCTAGATTTGCTGTCTGCAGTTGTTTGCAGGGGCAACTTTAGGCTTGTCATCTGGTAACCATATTCAGAAAAATCTTGGAGCTGCTTCAGAATTTGCAGTAAAACAACAAAATCACATGATAAGCATGAATATTCCCTGAACGCTAATCCCCTGCAGAGGCACGCAAGCATTAAAAGGTATCAGATGCCTACCTTGTAATAAATTACTCCTATTTCTGTATCTCCAGAAATGTCTTCCTGAACATTCTTAATGTTAACACAGACTTAAGTCGCCTCTCTTTCTTACGTTTGTAATCCCCAGGATATGCAGTCCACATATTCTACACCTCTTGGGTTTTGCCCTCAACAACAGGAAGGACGACAGTGATATTTCACAGTCAATTCCTTGTTCAAAACTTTTAGCAGGATTCATGCACCTCA